GCGGCTTCAGTTGAACGCAGGTGCCGCCTTCACTGCCTGTTTTATTGCATTGCTTTGTGCTGTGAAACAGCACCCCAGAGTTACCCCATTTCAGTGAGAAGTGAAGTGTTTGGTTCATCTAGAGAGAGCCAGTTACCCAACCCTGGCTGCATTATTCAGAGCAAAGGAGCAGGAACCTTGATGGAAAGGATCTGAAATGCCTGGAAATGGGGAAGGAAGCTTTTTCTGTAGGAAGAAGGAGTATTATTTGTGGCACCTTAGAGACTAAAGTACTCGTTCTTTTTGCCGATACAGACTAACACAGCTACCACTCTGGAAATTTTTCTGTAGGCTTTCCCTCCTCCCAAACCACCTCTGCAGTTTGTTTTGATTTTTTTTAGAGGAGATACTGGGTTAAAATTGGAGCAGAGCTGGGGAGAAACTGTTCTTTGGGCCATGCTCCGGTAGCAACCCAGAGGGTTTTTCCCGCAGAAATTAACACTGTTCTCTGCATAGTTAATGATCGCTCCATGGCTTCTACATTCCTCCTTGCTCCTCCTCCAGTTGGAGTAGGTGATATAGGAGTAGAGGGGGGGGCTGATGACACCACAGCCCCTGGAGGAAACATGATCATGGGAAGGAGGCGCTAACTCCCCACAGAGGTATCCATGATCAGTGGTGCTGCAGCAGGATCTCCCCACTAATGTGTGACTCCAAAGCTGGGCCCCTTCCCTCTTCCACGTAGCCCTTTGCCTGAAATCAGAGCCATGGAGTTGGGAAACAGTTTTTTTTTTTTTTTTTTTGCTGTCTAGAACAGGGGTTCTCAACCTTTTTCCTTTGAGCCCCCCCCCCCCTCCTACATGCTCCACAGCCCACCTGTGCCACAACTGATTTTCTCCATATAAAAGCCGGGGCCGGCATTAAGGGGTAGCAAGCAGGGCAGTTGCCCAGGGCACCATGCCACAAGGGGCACTGCAAATATAAGTTGCTCAGGCTTCAGTGCCCTAGTGCCTTTAATGCTTGCCATGCTTGGCAGACCCCCTGAAACCTGCTCGCAGCCCCCCCAAGGGGCCCTGGATCCCTGGTTGAGAACCACTGGTCTAGAGGGCTCTCCCCATGAGTGGGAAATTCAGCCCTCTGCACTATGTTCTGCTTTTTGTTACATGGGTGTGAATTTGGGGTAAATGTGTTGATGTCAATAAAGTTACTCCAGATTTACATTTGTGTCACGGAGATCAGGATAAGACCCTTAATATTTACAGATCACTTAGCATTTTTATAGTCTTTTCTTTGAGGTTCTCAAAATCTTGTTGTCATTGTCTGCTTTTCTTCTTTCTCTTTTTTGCTTGGGCCTCTGTTCTCTCTCTAGAAAACACATTTATTACTGTTAGGGCCTGTTTACATGAGGGGGTAGGGATAGCTCAGTGGTTTGAGCATTGGTGTGCTAAACCCAGGGTTGGGAGTTCAGTCCTTGAGGGGGCCACTTAGGGATCTGGGGCAAAATCAGTACTTAGTCCTGCTGGTGAAGGCAGGGGGCTGGACTCAATGACCTTTCAGGGTCCCTTCCAGTTCTATGAGATAGGTAGATCTCCATATATTATTATACAGTGTTAAATCAGCTGTTTAAAACCAGCTATGCAAAAATCCCATTCTTCTTCTTTGGCGGAGGGCAATCTTGCAGAACAAGCCTGCTTTGCTATGAAAATGTTTTCATGACTAAATATTGGTTTTCGACATTATTAAGTTTAATGCAACAGAACATTTCCCACCTAGCTCTTCTTTTAGGATGGGGGAGCATGATCTTGTCCCACTGTTTTTGTCCTAACACACTTTCTATTTTTGTAGTTCAGAAAGCTCAAGTCTTTGTCAGTGTAATGAAACTTGTGACCTTATTTCTAGAGTTCTGTGAATAATATTCTCAAATATCTTATTCAGTGAATTTCTTTCCAGTCAGCTGTCGAATGAGTTAGTCAAGAATAATGTCTTTTCATTGTTCAGCTAATTAATTCTTCATGGTACATCAAGGTGACTTTTGCTTTCAAGGCCCTGTCCGTCCCATCTGTGGGTGAAAACAAGCTAGCACTAGTCATGTTCAATATTCCAATTTAGTTCCCCTGATGAGATTTGGGGTGGGGGGGAGGTTTCTGATAACCATTGGAGCCAAATTCCACTAAAGTGGCTGCGTCAGGCTGTCTGTAACAGGATTTTATAATGTTGTTGTAACTCTGTTCTCAGATAAAATCTAAACCTCCCAAAAGACTCTTTTTGCACTGGTCAGGGAAACCTTGCTAGAACCCTTCTAGCAACAATAGTGTTTAAGCTCTGTTAGTCTACATTTTCAAAAGTGACTAGTACATTTTGGGTGTCTCAATCTGAAACACCTTAAAGGAGCCTCTTCTTCCAGAGGTCAAATGCTCATTGTTTTCTGAAAATAATGCTTGAGACCCCTAGAAGGAGGTCTAGTTTTCTGAAACATCTCTCACTCAAAAACTGAGACCCCCTACAAAAGACTTCTGAAAATCTAGGCCAGTTGTTTCTCATAGGAGGTGGTAGGTGGTGTGTGTGTGTGAAGCTATAGTGTTGATGAGGCTTTTGTGTTCCTTCTCAAGTTGCCCTGGTGTCTTTCTCCTACACGTTCTTTTTCTCCCCTGACTTGTAATTGCATGTTGCAGTTCTGATGTTTGAAAGCAGTTCTAAATTATACCTTCCCTGGGTTCCATGCTGAGCAGCTGTAGAGAAGATGCAACAAGAGTCATTAGTCACACTTAATATCTAGCCAGCTAGTTAAAGATGAGTGAGTGAAAAGGGCATAGTACACAGCAACCTTGCCTCTTTCTCAGTAATGACCCATTAGTGTATTATGAACAAATATAGATGGAGGGGAAATAAGAGTGAATCGGAGCTAATATGGAGCTGACTGTACCTCTGGGGTACGGTGAGTATATTTCTACATGTTTTGCTCTGAAGCTAAATTAGCATGAAACTGCACTGAAAATCATTAGCATGAACTTTGGCTGAAGTATAACTGTTAGCTATGTATAGGATGACCAGATGTCCTGATTTTTATAGGGACAGTCCCGATTTTTGGGTCTTTTTCTTATATAGGCTCCATTCCCCCCCACATCCCCTGTCCTGACTTTTCACATTTGCTGTCTTGTCACCCTAGCTATGTAATAGACTCCCCAGGAGATGCATTGTGTGCTACAGAGTTTTCAAGGGCAGGCAGCATTCACTACAAATCATGTTGGTTTTTCCGTGCCTGTCTCCTCTCTTGAGACACCACTGTAATGAAACTATCTAGCACCTGTTTCATTGGGAACCGAAGACCTTGATTAGCTTGGACTTGAGTACAGAGTGAGCACAATCACCTGTAGGGGGACCAGATGTCCCGATTTTATAGGGACAGTCCCAATATTTTGGGCTTTTTCTTATATAGATGTCTATTACCCCCCCCCCCCATCCCGATTTTTCACCTTTGCTATCTGGTCACCCTTGTCACCTGCCTCCCCTAGGGCTGGAGATCAGCAGCACTGTCCATTCAAAAGAATACTCTTTCAATTCCCGTCCCTGTTCCTCTCTCTCAAACTACACTCACCCGCAACCCAGCCAGCAGGGGAGGGGAAGTCCAAT